CAAACTTAGGTGCTTATTTCTATAAGTTTTATTGGAACATATTCGTTTACTGCTTTCATGCTACAAGTAAAGAGTTGAGTAGTTGTGAAAGATACCTTAAGATCTGTAGCCTAAAATATTTACTATTACGTTCTTTACAGAAAAAAAAAAAAATTTGCTGACTCCTACATAAATGTTTCTTAATATCATTAGAGGTTTTAGAACTTAGTAAGTTCAACTGAGCTCTCCAGGACACAGGGGTTGAGGGTGCCAAAACATTGCACAGTCAAAAATGCACATGTAACTTTTGACTTGCTCAAAACTTAACTAGTAATAGCCCATTGTTGACCAGAAGCTTTATCAGTGATCAGCCAAGTAACATGTTTTATATGTTGTATGTACTATATATTGTATTCTTACAAAGTAAGTCAGAGAAAAGAAATTGTTAAGAAAATCAAGAAGAACTAGCAGATGGCGTAATGGTTTTGTCACTGAACCCCCATGTAGTCAACAACAGTTAGAGTACCAGAGCCTGTGGCTTAAAACTCACACTGGGCACATGTGCGTACATGCCCAAGATCCCAAGAAGAGAATAGAGAAGAAGGGACTGCAGCGTGGCCATCTCCCTGGGAAGTGATTTCTTACTTTCTGTCTCTCCTGCAAGCACACAGAGCCTATAATAAAAATCTCTCTTTTGAAAAAAAGGGAAAATATATTTACAGTACTGTATTTTGCAATACATTTACTGGAAAAAAAAACCCTGCATATCCATGCCTGAAAGCAATACATTTTTAAGTAACCATTTAATAAGCCATTACTCTGTGCCAAGAACCACACTAATTACTTAAAGAAATAAGCGGGACTCAGCAAAAAGGATTGTAAAGGGTCCAGCCTGTGGCCTAATGGTTAAGGTAATTGGATCCCACATGGCCAACTATGTGGTTGCCACGCCTGGAGCTTAGGAAAAAAATACGGACATGTGTGTATTCATGCCCAAAATACTAAAAAAAGAGACAAGTGGAAGAAGTTACAGCATGACCATGTCTTATGGAGAGTACTTTTTCTTTCTCTTTCTTTCTCCAGGGAGTGCCTGTACCCTCTGGAAAAAAAATTTTTAAAAGAAAAAGATAGGGACCAGCAAGTGGTGTGGTGGTTAAAGACACTTGACTCCCACAGAGCTGATCACAGTTCAAGTCCTGGACCTGGCAGCTTGCTTTCTTACTTTCCCTCTCTCTGTCTGTCTGCCTGTCTCTGTTCAAACTGTAAATATATATATATATATATATACGCGTGTGTGTATATATTTATTTGTATTTATGTATTTGAAATGCAGGTTACAATCCCCAGGTCAGCTTAAAATACACCAAGTGCATGTGCACACACCCAAGAAACTAAGGAGCTGCAGGATCAGGGAAAAGAAGACTGACGAGACTGAGAGCGCTTCCCTCGTATCCCACCCCTCCTCTTGACAAGAAGACATCAATGTATGTGTACATAATGAGACCCTGCCTCAGCGGCACAGAAGGTAATGGACTGAACTGCAGTGCTGAAAGCCATACAGTCGATGATGGACCCAGATCCCAAGCAGACCTGCAAACGCACTAGGTTTGTGCATGCCTAAGACTCTGCATGCCTGAGACTACAGACTCCTTCCCAAGAGGGACCCTGTTGAGATGCCTGTCAGTCTCTCTCTCTCATGTGCATGAACATGTCCATGAACTCTCCCATGAATAGAACAATTTTTTAAATTTAAAAAGATACATACACATAATTAGGTATCATTACATACTCACCAGATTGTAAATATTAAACTCTGGATAACACCACATGTTGTAAAGAATATGATTACTTTGATGATAAGAGTACCTGTGGTATATACACTGGGAAGCAGTTTTTGACTATCCAGTAATTTCAGGATGTATATATTTTATGACCCAGAAATCCCACTTCTAAGTACACCCTAAAGAAATCCATGCTTAGATACATGAACAAACATACTCAAAACAATGCTATTTATAATAGTTAAAACTATATAAAATCTATGTTTAATTGTAGCACCGATAAAAAACTGAATGACATGTACGTGTGTGTATGTGTGTGTATATGTATTACAAGACAATTAACTATAATTATATGCATGACTAACACAAACAAAATATTGACCAAAAAAACCCACATAAATAAGTATTTCCAGGGGCTAGCAAGTGGCATAGAGGTTAAGGCAGCTGGATTCCACAGGGTTAAGTGCATAGAGCACTGCTCAAAAATGGCGCTCCTTGTGCCAAGCACCCAACACCCACAGTCTTCAAAACAACATACTTTGACAAACATGTTTACTTGACTGCTTTCATGGATGTTTGTAAACAACTTGGTTGCTTTCAAAGACCTGTGTAAATGGCCTACCTGAACCATTCAGACAGACTGCCATAGCCATAAGCATGACAAGTCGATAACCAAACTGGTTGCAAAGATAAGAATGTATGGCACAGAGAAAGGCCTTGGTAAAAGGGCACACAAACCAGGCAGACAGCTCCATGCCACCGTTCTTTGGTCATCTCCCCTGTGTGATCTGGAGCAGCTGCTGTGCGAGAGCACTCAGTTTGCAGCTTCTCTCAAACCAGGGCAGTTGCTCTAACATTCACTTGGCAGCTTTCCACACTAAATTCTGGAGGCACTGGGACCCTGACAAAAGCAAATTCAATGGGCCCTCTTCACCACAGCAGCTTGAGGGGTATCTGGCCCAGAACTGTAGTGATTGTGTTGCTAAAGAGACCATTCCACAGAGGATTTGTGTTGACCACTCCATCCTGGTTACGGGCTTGGACAGGCTCTCTGAGTAGAGCTCCCTTGTGGAGTTAGTGCAAGTTCCGTTCTTGAGTGGGCTCACATCTCCCTGTCCCCCACCCAGCTATTCTTGCTTGTGTGTTAGGACATTTGATGTAAATAAAGCCCTGACAATGTAGGAAGATACAACTCGAGCTGCGGACTAAATCCCTACACTCTCAACACTGGTTCTGCAGTTTAAGTCCTGGACCTGGAAGCTTGAAAATCACACTGGCAGGCCCAAAATTCTGACAGGAAAATGGAGGAGAAAGGATTGTTGTGTGGCCATCCACCCAAAGGGTTGATTTCTCACTTCCCTCTCTCTGTCTCTCACTCAGTCTCTTTCTGGCAAATACATGTACCCTAAAGCAAAAATTAAAACAACAACAAAACAGTATTTGTGGTATCATTTTATATATAATAGAAAAAAATCAAATTACATTATATAGAGACAAAGAGATGGCAAAACTATTTTTAAGATGCAATGAAATGATTATTTCTGGGGAGAAAAGTGATTTGGGGTTGGGAAGGGTTTGGTAGGTATAGTTTCTGGAATACTGGTGATATTCTATTTTCTGACTTGGGTGATGAACACATAGTTGGTTATTTTACAAGCTGAAAAAGTACAACTGTACATATCCATTGTGTATCTAGCATAGTTCCTGGAATTACAGCAGATGTCAACAAAAGCATCCAGAATTTTAACAGATAGTACGTCCAGTTGGGGTGTTTCAAGGGGCTCTATGGAAAACACAGATTCTAAGCTTTAGGTAAAGAGAGGAAAAGATATTCTTTTTTTCTTTTTTTTTGAGAGGTTTTTTCACTAAAGGGTGTGTGCGCTCGCCAGACAGACAGAGAGAGACATAGAGACAGAAAGCGAGAAATCACCCCCCAGGGGGGATGGTCACACCGCAATCCCTTCTCCTCCATTCTTTTCTTGGGATCTTGGGCACGCACGCACATGCGCCCAGCATGAGTTTTAAGCCACCAGGTCTGGGATGCGAACCACGGTCGACTACATGGGAGTCCAGCAACATAGCCATTACGCTAACTGCTGGTTCCCGAGATATTCTTGACTAAGCAAGTCAGTGAACGGAGAGGAGAGATGGAAAACACTGACACCATTGGACACATCTGACTGTGTGAAGAATGGAGAGTGAATGCTAGGAAGGCAGGTGAAGCTTAATTACTAAACTACAGATTAAGGAATATGGAGATACTTAGTAATGTGAAATACTGAAGACTTGTTTGTAACTTTTGAAGGCAGAGAATATTTCAATAAGTGACAAAGAAAAAAAATCACTATATACTTCTATTATATACTTCGAATGAATATATCTTATAATTTATAGCCCAATAAAGCTGACTTTTACAATTTCAGCAAAAAAGATGTTCCTTTTCCTGACAATTCTCTTACCATGTGTCCATGTTTTTGTGATAAAAGGTATTCAAATCCAGTTGCCATCATTATTTAATCAATCTGTTTACAAAGTATAATGTTCTCCCTACTTCTCATTTGCCTAATCACAACTATCCTATATACTACTACCAAAATAATCCTCCGAAAGAACTCTTCCAAAGTAGGGGGGGGGGTCATCTGCTTTAGAACTTTAAAGTACTATCTGTAGCCTTTCCTCCCAAGAGAAGAAACATCTAGAACAGGAATTTAATCTGCCATTCTGGTTTTGTTTTTCACTATTTTCTATTCACAGACCTTTCTTCAAGTGTACTAGCTTTCTAAACAAACTTTATTTCTACTTTCCATGCCTGTCTTCACACTATTCTCTTGAATTAGTATACTTCTACCCTTCAGGTTATTCCTACCTTTCCGGTTAATCCTACTCATGCTTCAAGACCTGCACACTGTAAGACTGAAGTCTTTTCTGAAGTCCCTTCAGGTATGATCTCTTCATTTTCTGTACTTTTGCTGAAGTCTGACTGTGCATGAAAACTAAAAACACCATTCTCTATGTCATTCACAAGAGAATCCTTATCCTTAAGGATCTATACCCACACACATATAACTGAATACAAATCATACAAGACAGGTTAGAAGGGCATAGTTAGTCCACAGTATTCACTCAACAACTATTTGTTGAAAGGATGATTATTTGCAAATTGTAATTATCCAAAGTCATTGATATATAAGTATATAAATAAGATAGTAATCTTACTAGATTTTTTTAAAGTAATTTTACCTTTTCAGTTATAAGTGGTTTTGCAGGCTTTTCTGGCTCCTTTTCTCGCTTTTTCTCTTCCTTTTTCTTTTCCTTTTCTTTCTAAAACACAGCCCAATGTTATGATAATAAGTTCACTTTCTTAAAATGGTAACTTTTAACTCACTTTTTAATTAGTTTGAGTCATCATTTGAGAAAGGTGGAAGTACGCGATGATTACAATATCCAGTGAAACAATGATTACATGATTACAACAATGTAATCCAATGATTACAACAATATTCAAAGTAAACACAGCAAATTCACATTCTCATTGAAGTTACACTAATGCCACAATAAAGAATATTTCTTTAATGATTGAGACAACTTAGAACTTCTTTGATATTTTAGGGGGGTTGTGTTTGTTTTAAACAAAAGAGATCTCTGTTCAACAAATTCCCATTACTGCCTTATATAAGGCTAGGCTTCCTCATAGCAACCAGAAAGTGTGAATAAGTAGAAAAAGTAAACTAACTGATAGAATAGACTTCCTTATCATGCAAATGAAAATAAGTCATAATAGGTAAATATGATGAAGAAAGTAAAATATCACTTTATTTTTTTAAAATATCTTGTCCATTACCATTTTTTGTATCTGTGTTTTTAATAAAGACAAATATGACAATTTTCTCATTAAAAAAAATGTTAAACCATGCTTGAGAACCACAGCCAACTCACTACCATGAGCAGCCAAGGGAAACTACAATGATACTATGATGTTCACAAGTTGCATTTCTAAGAAGGATGGGACAGGATATAATGTTTAAAACTTAAGTATTAAACACAACAGCAACAACAAACCCTAAAAGCCACAAAATGTAAAAAAACTTTTTTGTATAATAAGAAAAATTAGACATAGAGCAGTCATAAGACATCTAAAGGGAAGAGATTAGAAACCTTGATTTGCACTAAATTAGCTCTTATGTTTCCGGGTCACAAACAAGAAGATAAATAAACTAACTTAGGAAAGGCAATGGGATAAACATGCAGAATTTAGTCAAAATACCCCAAGGTTGCATTACCACATGTGCCTTTAAAGTAGTACTTAAGGCAAACTAAGAATAAATATCCTCCTTTATTTAATTGCCAGAGTGTGTGCGCACTTGCAAGAGAGAGAGAGAGAGAACACTTCCCAGTGAGGTGTGGTCGTACCACAATCTTTTTTCCTCCATTTCTCGAACCCGTGAGGATTTTGGGCACACATACACATATGCCTAGAATGTTTCTCAAGCCACTTGGGCAGGGAATTGAACCATGGTCAGTCATCTAGGAGTGGCTCTCAGAACATAGCACTTAACCACTATACTATGAGGTCAGTCATTGTTTGTCATTTTTAAATCAAAAAGATAATATTTGGTGGGGCTGGCAGGTGGCATGGTGGTTATGGTGCTGGACTCCGACATGGCTGACCATGTTCTGAATCCTGGACCTGCAGCTTGCTTTCCTGTTCTCCCTTTCTCTCTTTCTCTGTCTCTCTCTGGTCGAATTATAAAATAATAGTGATAACAAATGAAATTAAATAATTCTTTTTTAAGAAGATAATATTTGGGGGAACCAGCAGTTAGTGTAATGGCTATGTCGCTGGACTCTCACGTAGTTGACCGCGGTTCCCGTCCTGGACCTGGTGGCTTAGAACTCACACCAGGCGCGTGTGCATGCATGCCCAAGATCCCGAGAGGAGAATGGAGGAGAAGGGATTGCGGCATGACCATTCCCTCTGGGGGGTGATTTCTCACTTTCTGTCTCTCTGTCTCTCTCTGTCTGGCGAGCACACGTGCCCTATAGCGAAAACCTCTCCAAAAAAAAAGATAATATTTGGCAATTTCTGGTTAATAACCTGAGAGAAATAATAAAAGTTCAAAGAGCTTTATAATCATTCATATAAAGTTCAAAAATAGGCAAAACTGTTTTTTTAATTATTATTTATTTTATTTTATTTATTCATTCAGTTATTTTAATTTGACCAGAGAGAGAGAGAGAGAGAGAAAGGGACAAAGGAAGCCGCCAGGTCCAGGAGACAAACCATGGTCAGCCATGTGGGAGTGTCCAGCACCTTAACCACCACGCCGCCTGCTGGTCCCAAAGCAAAACTGTTATATGTTGTGTAGTAGTGTGAAACTATGAAGAAATGGAAAGAAATTATAATGATAAAAGTTACGATATTAATTATCTGTAAGAGTGAAGCAGTAAGATTCTATACAGGATGAGTTACATGGGAGATTTTCAAGTGCTAACAAGGTCTAGGTTCAATGTTAACTATATAAGGTCGGTGGGTGGCGTGGTGGTTAAGGGAGCTGGACTCCCATATGGCCAGCAAAGGTTTGAGTCCTGGACCAGCTGACTTGCTTTTTCACTTTCCATCCCTCCCTCTCTCTCTCTCCATCTCTCCCTCCCTCCCTCCCTCTCTGTCTCCCTCCCTCTATGGTCAAATTAAAATAAACAAAGTTAAATAATTCTTTAAAAAATGTTTACTATATAGTGATAGTTTTGTAGTACTCATTAAACAAGACATATATTTATTGTGCATTTCAGTATTAAAAAAATAAAAGGCACTGGGGCCGGCAGGTGGTATGGTGGTTAAGAGCACTGGAATCCCACATGGCTGACCATGGTTCAAGTCCCAGACCTGACAACTTGCTTTCTCATTTTCTCTCTCTTTCTCTCTTTCTCTTACTTTGTCCCTCTCTGGTAAAATTAAAATGAATAAATAAAATAAAATAAAGTTAAATAAAATAATTCTTAAAATAAATAAATAAATGGCACTAAATACTTTAAAAACAGAATTCTACAAATGTAACACATTACCCAAATATAAGACAATGTAATTTTAATATTTGCTATATGATATAAAAAAGAGGTAAGAAAAAAAGCTTGATCCTGGTCCCAATTTTTAAAAGAAATTCACATCAAAGATCCTTATATTAAGGGCACAGCAGAAAAATCCTAAAGCATTTCACTATTAATATTTTTATTAGACCTTAGCGTAAGTGTAATAGTATCCATGAATCGTGAAATCATCTATACAGAGGGCTAAGGTAGGAGTGTAGGCACACTGCTTTATAGCAAATGAAGACTACATGGGTGAAATTCCAGAGTCTGGATAAAAGGCAGGGTGTATCTGAGGCTTCAGACTACAATTCCTAATACCATCTGTTTCAACAACACTTTCAGAACAGGATAAAAGTCAGCATGAAGCTGAGCTATCTGAGTACTAGAAGCGCTAAAATCTGAAGAGAAATCTCACATGTTTTAGTTACCAGCTAAGCATATGTCAAAACTGGCATTTTGCTATGAACATTAAGGATACTATTAAAGTCTGGCACAGATTTTAAAAAACATCTAGAAAGTTGGATATTTCTCAAAACGGTACAACCTGCTGAAATTCCTGGACTTCATACTGAAATAAGGAAGATGTGATCCTTTCAGGATAACTAGAAACCTACTGGTGACTCAAGCATTTCCTAAGTTAAAACTTTTATTTCTGGGGCCAGGCGCAGAGGCTGAGACACGGGTTCCCTCCCACATGGCATACTTCATAGTTTAAGCCCTGAACTCAGTGGTGGCTTGAAAAATCACACTGGGTGCATGTTCATGCATGCCCAAAATCCCAAGAGAAAACTGGAAGAGAAGGGACTGCGGCATAAACATCCTCCTTGGCAGGTGATTTCTCTCTCTCTCTCCAGCAAGCACATGCACCCTATAGCAAAAACTAAAAAAAAAAAAAAGCTTAATTTCCAAAACACAAAGACCACCTGCTTAAGTGTTTCCTATGAGTCAAGTGTGATGATAAGAACCTTATCTATTGATAATTCAATCTTTGAAAAAAAAAACCTCTTTCATAATAAACCAATGATCAAAAAAATTAAGTGATATCTAAAGTAATGACCAAAAACCTCTTTCATAATTTAATCTTTGTAATAACTGTCTGAAATGAATGCTATCATTACTGTAATCTTACAAATGAAGAAGTAAAATCTTAGGACAGTATTGCCAAAAGTAACACAGCGATCAGTAGTGGGGCGACGCACGGCACCCACACCCTCATGTCCCATGACTGTGATTCGGTGAGGCTTTGCTAGTTACCACTGCGGCTGCTATTCCTTACTGTAACAGCTAACATTCACTGAACCTTATTATGTGACAGGCATTGTTTTAACTTATTTAACCCTCACAACCACTTTATGAGTATAATAATGCCCCCATTTTATAAGTGAAGAAAAAATGAGACATGTAAAAATCCTAGATATATTATAAAATATTTTCTAGATATTACTAATGAAGTTAATGAGGAAAACAATGCGATAGAACACTGTCACTAATATGCTGGGAATAAGTTGCCCTGTAAACTCTCAGAAGTGTTGCTATTGCTGTAGTCTCATTGTTTGTGTCCACCCCAAAATTTAAATGTTGAACCTTAATCCCAATGTGATGGTATCAGAAGATGGAGCCTCTAGGAGCTAATTAGGTCTTCCTTCACGAACAGAATTAGTGCCCTTCTAAAGAGGGCCAGAGAGATCACTAGCCCATTCCCACCACGTGAGGACACAGCAAGTAGGGCTTGATGTTCTATGAACCAGGAAGTGGACTCTCACAAGGCACAGAATCTGCCAGAGATTTTATCCTGGACTTTCCAGCTTCCTATACTGAGAAATAAAAGTCTGTTGTTTATAAGCTAGTCAGTGTTAGAACAGCCTACACAAATCAAGACGGTTATTTATCAGGAAGTCAGTGTCGTGAATGAGGAAGAAGCTTAACTTCCAAATCACTATGATTGGTGGGCACATAGGAAATCACCAAAAATAAGTCAAATTAGTTAGTTACATTTAATAAATAAAGACACGATTTGATGCTCTTTAACACTGGAATTCCAGCTGTCAAAATACAGCTGTTATCTACTCTGATTCCAGCAGCAGTATTATAATACGGGCTTTGAAGTCACATTAACAGCATGGGCTATATACTCAGACCATACAGTTTGACCCACAGATGACTCCCATCTATAAATTCAAAGCTGCTAAAGATCAGAGAGTACCGTAGTGTCCAAGTTATTTTAAATTATTCTCTCAGTAAGAAGAAAATACAGCACCATTTGGCATGATAGAACTGCAGGTTCTTGACACGTGGTTGCTATTCATACAAATGACAGAGTGAAATGAGTGAAATGACAGATCTCATGTACAAGAAAAACTGCTTTAAACATTCAAGTTCTTTAACATAGAGAAAAATACATACTGAGTTCATCATGATCAAATTTAATTAAAGACATTGCTCCAAAATTCTTGATTATGTGCTATCTTAAAAAGCTGTGAGGGGAACCAGCAGTTAGCGTAATAGCTATATCGCTGGACTCCCACATAGTCGACCGTGGTTCGCATCCCGGACCCAGTGGCTTAAAACTCACGACAGGCTCGTGTGCGTGTGTGCCCAGGATCCCAAGAGGAGAATGGAGGAGAAGGGATTGCGGCATGACCAACCCCCCTGGGGGGGGTGATTTCTCGCTTCCTGTCTCTCTGTATCTCTCTGTCTGGTGAGTGCACGCGCCCTACAGCAAAAAAAAAAAAACTCTCAAAAAAAAAAAAGCTGTGAGCATATAGACTCTACCATATGTATACATTTACTTATAAAACACTAAAATATAGTATAATACTATAATGTACATGTTATAAAATACATACAAAAAATAAGTTTTAATAGGATACAGAGAAAAAAGGCATGAATAGACATTCTAAATGGACAGCCTATGCTACAGATCACCACATTTGAAAGTCTACTCAAATAGACCACCATTTTCTGAGACATGGAGGCGAAAACCACATAGTACAAAAGTGTAGTAAAAATTTTGATCCTCATTTTCAAGTGAAAAATATCTCAAGGGCAAGTTTTAAAAACCTCAAATGCCTTTGGCATCTTCCCTCTTCCTCAAGACAACCCCCAGACACTCATACTGTTCCTTCCTCCAATCTGCCTGCTGATCTGAGCTGCTTACAACACTCACTGAATCCTGTCCACATCCAAAGCTGTCCTTTGCAATCTTTCCATCAACTCCCTTTGCTCTGCGAATAACTCTTAAGTTCAGGTGTCCCCAAATTCCTATCCTTATGACTCTCCTCTTTTCCCTCAATAAAATGGGGCAGCCTTTCAGCTCACTCTGTCTCCCTCTCTCTCTTGCTCTGTGGGCCAGATCATTCCCCCAGGTCAGTAGATCTGTGTATCAAACCACCTGCTAGAATCCTTGATGTTCCCACAGTTACCTCATAACCAATGTGTCCAACTTTTTAACTTTCTTCCTCTCCCCAAATCTGTTCTTTCTTGTCAGCTTGTATCCTTATTGCACTAAATGTCACCAGCATCTAGAGGTTTTCCATCAGAAACTAGGACTCAGAGGACTTCCCAAAGCACTTACATAGTTTGTCAATACTAAATACCATGGAGATGACCTTCTTAAAAATCTCACAAAACTATACTCTCAATTTTATTACTCTGCCTGCATTTTGGCATGTGCCCCCATCATTTAATTCTTGAATTAGAGCAACAAGTTTTCAAGTCTTTTCCTCATCCATCACCACAAAATTTACTCTCTACAGAGCCAGTAATAACATGAAAATCTGATCATCTCAGCCCACGTCCTTGAAAACTCATCATGAAAGTACCCAGATCTTCAGATTGCAGACCAAACTCCTTCAGTGGGTTCATAAGAAGGCTCTCCTCCCACTTCTATCCCTATTCTGCCCATATTTGAGCCATGCCATTCTACTTGCAACTCCCAAACTATGTACTTTGACGATACTTTTTTTCCCCCCCCACAAACCACTTCTT